CTGAGTAAGTGACTGAGTAAGTGAATGAATGACTGAGAGAGTGACTGAGTGACTGACTGAGTGACTGAGTAAGTGACTGAATGAATGACTGAGTGACAGAGTGACTGACTGAGTGACTGAGTAAGTGACTGAATGACTGAGTGACTGAGTGACTGAGGGACTGACTGAGTGACTGAGTAAGTGACTGAGTGAGTGACTGAGTGAGTGACTGAGTGACAGACTGAGTGACTGCGTGTGTGACTGACTGAGTGACTGACTTAGTGACTGACTAAGTGACTGACTGAGTGACTGAGTGAGTGACTGACTGACTGAGTGACTGACTGAATGACTGACTGATTGACTGAGTGAGTGACTGACTGAGTGACTGACTGAGTGACTGAGTAAGTGACTAACGGAATGACTGAGCGACTGAGTAAGTGACTGAGTAAGTGACTGACTGAGTGACTGACTAACTGACTGAATGACTGACTGAGTGACTGACTGACCGACTGACTGAGTGACTGAGTGACTGACTGACTGACTGAGTGACTGAGTAAGTGACTAACTGAATGACTGAGCGACTGAGTAAATGACTGAGTAAGTGACTGACTGAGTGACTGACTAACTGAGTGACTGACTGACCGACTGACTGAGTGACTGACTGACTGACTGACTGAGTGACTGAGTGACTGAATGACTGAGTGACTGACTGACTGAGTGACTGACTGACCGACTGACTGAGTGACTGAGTGAATGACTGACTGACTGAGTGACTGACTGAGTGACTGAGTAAGTGACTAACTGAATGACTGAGCGACTGAGTAAATGACTGAGTAAGTGACTGACTGAGTGACTGACTAACTGAGTGACTGACTGACCGACTGACTGAGTGACTGACTGACTGACTGACTGAGTGACTGAGTGACTGAATGACTGAGTGACTGACTGACTGAGTGACTGACTGAGTGACTGACTGACTGAGTGTCTGACTGAGTGACTGATTGAGTGACTGACTGATTGAGTGACTGACTGAGTGACTGACTGAGTGACTGACTGACTGAGTGACTGACTGAGTGACTGACTGACTGAGTGACTGACTGAGTGACTGACTGACTGAGTGACTGAGTGACAGTGACTGACTGACTGACTGAGTGACTGACTGACTGAGTGACTGACTGAGTGACTGAGTGACTGACTGAACAGAGTGAGTGACTGACTGACTGAGTGACTGAGTGACTGAGTAAGTGACTGAGTGATTGAGTGACTGAATGAATGAGTGACTGAGTGACTGACTGACTGAGTGACTGACTGAGTGACTGAGTGACTGACTAAGTGACTGACTAAGTGACTGACTAACTGACTGACTGAGTGACTGATTGACTGACTGAGTGACTGAGTGACTGACTAACTGACTGAGTGACTGAGTGACTGAGTGACTGAGTGACTGACTGAGTGACTGACTGAGTGACTGACTGAGTGACTGAATGAATGAGTGACTGACTGACTAACTGACTGACTAAGCGACTGAGTGACTGACTGAGTGACTGACTGACTAACTGACTAACTGAGTGACTGACTGACTGAGTGACTGACTGAGTGACTGACTGAGTGACTGAGTGACTGAGTGACTGAGTGACTGAGTGACTGAGTGACTGACTGACTCACTGAGTGACTAGCTGACTGAGTGACTGAGTGACTGACTGACTGACTTAGTGACTGACTGAGTGACTGACTGAGTGACTGAGTGAACTCCGTACGTGATGTAACAGATATCCAGCTGCCTTGTCTTTCCCACATCACTCACCCATGGTGATAATCAATCTTCTCAGCAGCTGTGAGAATTGTTTGAAGGAGGCTGAGTAACTTAGTGACTAACTGAATGACTGAGTGACTGAGTAAGTGAGTGACTGACTGAGTGACTAACTGACTGAGTGACTGACTGAGTGACTGAGTGACTGACTGACTGACTGAGTGACTGACTGACTGAGTGACTGACTGAATGACTGAGTGACTGAGTGACTGACTGAGTGACTGACTGACTTAGTGACTGACTGACTGACTGAGTGACTGAATGACTGACTGAGTAACTGACTGAGTGGCTGACTGAGTGGCTGACTGAGTGACCGACTGAGTGACTGACTGACTTAGTGACTGACTGACTGACTGAGTGACTGAATGACTGACTGAGTGACTGACTGAGTGGCTGACTGAGTGGCTGACTGAGTGAGTGACTGAGTGACTGAGTGACTGACTGAGTGACTGACTGACTGAGTGACTGACTAACTGACTGACTGAGTGACTGAGTGACTGAGTGACTGAGTGACTGACTGAGTGACTGAGTGACTGACTGACTTAGTGACTGACTGACTGACTGAGTGACTGAGTGACTGACTGACTGACTGACTGACTGAGTGACTGACTGACTGAGTGACTGAGTGACTGACTAACTGACTGACTGACTAACTGACTGAGTGACTGAGTGATGGAGTGACTGACTGACTGACTGAGTGTCTGACTGAGTGACTGACTGACTGAGTGACTCAGTGAGTGACTCAGTGAGTGACTGACTGAGTGACTGACTGACTGAGTGACTGACTAACTGACTGAGTGACTGACTGACTGAGTGACTGACTGACTAACTGACTGACTGAGTGACTGACTGACAGACTGAGTGACTGAGTGACTTAGTGACTGACTGAGTGACTGACTGAGTGACTGACTGACTGAGTGACTGACTGCCTGACTGAGTGACTGAGTGACTGAGTGACTGACTGAGTGACTGAGTGAACTCCCTACGTGATGTAACAGACATCCAGCTGCATTTTCTTTCCCACAGCAATCCCCCATGGTGCTGATGAATCTTCTCAGCAGCTGAGAGAATTGTTTGAAGGAGGCTGAGTAACTTAGTGACTAACTGACTTACTGCCTGACTAACTGACTAACTGACTGAGTGACTGACTGACTGACTGAGTGAGTGACTGAGTGACTGACTGACTGACTGACTGAGTGACTGACTGAGTGACTGAGTGACTGAGTGACTGAGTGAACTCCGTACGTGATGTAACAGACATCCAGCTGCATTTTCTTTCCCACAGCAATCCCCCATGGTGCTGATGAATCTTCTCAGCAGCTGAGAGAATTGTTTAAAGGAGGCTGAGTAACTTAGTGACTAACTGACTTACTGCCTGACTAACTGACTAACTGACTGAGTGACTGACTGACTGAGTGACTGAGTGACTGAGTGACTGACTAACTGACTAACTGACTGACTGACTGAGTGACTGACGAGTGACTGAGTGAACTCCCTACGTGATGTAACAGACATCCAGCTGCATTTTCTTTCCCACAGCAATCCCCCATGGTGCTGATGAATCTTCTCAGCAGCTGAGAGAATTGTTTGAAGGAGGCTGAGTAACTTAGTGACTAACTGACTTACTGCCTGACTAACTGACTAACTGACTGAGTGACTGACTAACTGACTGACTGAGTGACTCACTGACTAACTGACTAACTGACTGAGTGACTGACGAGTGACTGAGTGAACTCCGTACGTGATGTAACAGACATCCAGCTGCATTTTCTTTCCCACAGCAATCCCCCATGGTGCTGATGAATCTTCTCAGCAGCTGAGAGAATTGTTTGAAGGAGGCTGAGTAACTTAGTGACTAACTGACTTACTGCCTGACTAACTGACTAACTGACTGAGTGACTGACTGAGTGACTGACTGACGGACTGAGTGACTGACTGACTTAGTGACTGACTGAGTGACTGAGTGACTGAGTGAACTCCCTACGTGATGTAACAGACATCCAGCTGCATTTTCTTTCCCACAGCAATCCCCCATGGTGCTGATGAATCTTCTCAGCAGCTGAGAGAATTGTTTGAAGGAGGCTGAGTAACTTAGTGACTAACTGAATGACTGAGTGACTGACTGAGTGACTGACTGAGTGACTGAGTGACTGACTGAGTGACTGACTGACGGACTGAGTGACTGACTGACTGAGTGACTGACTGAGTGACTGAGTGAACTCCGTACGTGATGTAACAGACATCCAGCTGCATTTTCTTTCCCACAGCAATCCCCCATGGTGCTGATGAATCTTCTCAGCAGCTGAGAGAATTGTTTGAAGGAGGCTGAGTAACTTAGTGACTAACTGAATGACTGAGTGACTAACTGACTAACTGACTGAGTGACTGACTGACTGACTAACTGACTGACTGAGTGACTGACTCACTTAGTGACTGACTGAGTGACTGACGAGTGACTGAGTGAACTCCGTACGTGATGTAACAGACATCCAGCTGCATTTTCTTTCCCACAGCAATCCCCCATGGTGCTGATGAATCTTCTCAGCAGCTGAGAGAATTGTTTAAAGGAGGCTGAGTAACTTAGTGACTAACTGACTTACTGCCTGACTAACTGACTAACTGACTGAGTGACTGACTGAGTGACTGACTGAGTGACTGACTGACTGACTGAGTGACTGACTGAGTGACTGAGTGAACTCCCTACGTGATGTAACAGACATCCAGCTGCATTTTCTTTCCCACAGCAATCCCCCATGGTGCTGATGAATCTTCTCAGCAGCTGAGAGAATTGTTTGAAGGAGGCTGAGTAACTTAGTGACTAACTGACTTACTGCCTGACTAACTGACTGACTGACTGAGTGACTGACTGAGTGACTGACTGACGGACTAACTGACTGAGTGACTGACTGAGTGACTGAGTGACTGACTGAGTGACTGACTGACTGAGTGACTGACTGACTGAGTGACTAACTGAGTGACTGACTGAGTGACTGAGTGACTGACTGAGTGACTGACTGAGTGACTGAGTGACTGACTGAGTGACTGACTGACTGAGTGACTGACTGACTGAGTGACTAACTGAGTGACTGACTGAGTGACTGAGTGAACTCCCTACGTGATGTAACAGACATCCAGCTGCATTTTCTTTCCCACAGCAATCCCCCATGGTGCTGATGAATCTTCTCAGCAGCTGTGAGAATTGTTTGAAGGAGGCTTCAGCCACGGGACGGGAGAACAGTATCACCATCCTGGTAGGAGAATCATCATCAGTATCATCATCAGTATCATCAGTATCATCATCATCATCAGTAGTAGTAGTATCATCATCAGTATCATCATCATCAGTAGTAGTATCATCATCATCATCAGTATCATCGTCATCAGTAGTAGTATCATCATCAGTATCATGATCAGTATCATCAGTATCATCATCATCAGTATCATCATCAGTATCATCATCATCAGTAGTAGTAGTATCATCAGTAGTAGTATCATCATCATCATCAGTATCATCATCATCATCAGTAGTAATATCATCATCATCATCATCATCAGAATCACCATCATCATCATCAGTAGTAGTATCATCATCATCAGTAATAGTATCATCATCATCATCAGTAGTAGTATCATCATCATCAGTATCATCATCATCAGTATCATCATCATCATCATCAGTAGTATCATCATCAGTAGTAGTATCATCATCAGTAGTATCAGCTTCATCATCATCAGTAGTAGTATCATCATCATCAGTAGTAGTATCATCATCATCAGTAGTAGTATCATCATCAGTAGTAGTATCATCATCATCAGTATCATCATCATCATCAGTATCATCATCATCAGTATCATCATCAGTAGTAGTATCATCATCATCAGTATCATCATCATCATCAGTAGTAGTATCATCATCATCAGAATCATCATCATCATCAGTATCATCATCATCAGTAGTAGTATCATCATCATCATCATCAGTATCATCATCAGTATCATCATCATCAGTAGTAGTATCATCATCAGTATCATCATCATCATCATCAGTAGTAGTATCATCATCATCAGTATCATCATCATCATCATCATCAGTAGTATCATCATCAGTATCATCATCATCATCAGTAGTAGTATCATCATCATCATCAGTATCATCATCATCATCATCAGTAGTAGTAGTATCATCATCATCGGTAGTAGTAGTATCATCATCAGTAGAAGTATCATCATCATCAGTAGTAGTATCATCATCAGTAGTAGTATCATCATCATCAGTATCATCATCATCATCATCAGTAGTATCATCATCAGTAGTAGTATCATCATCATCATCAGTATCATCATCATCAGTAGTAGTATCATCATCAGTAGTATCATCATCATCATCAGTAGTAGTATCATCATCATCAGTATCATCATCATCATCAGTAGTAGTATCATCATCATCATCAGTATCATCATCAGTAGTATCATCATCATCAGTAGTATCATCATCAGTAGTAGTATCATCATCAGTAGTAGTATCATCATCATCAGTAGTAGTATCATCATCATCAGTAGTATCATCATCATCATCAGTAGTATCATCATCAGTATCATCATCATCATCAGTAGTAGTATCATCATCATCAGTAGTATCATCATCATCAGTAGTATCATCATCATCATCAGTAGTATCAGCATCATCATCAGTAGTAGGAGTATCATCATCATCAGTAGTAGTATCATCATCATCATCAGTAGTAGTATCATCATCATCATCATCAGTAGTAGTATCATCATCATCATCAGTAGTATCATCATCATCATCAGTAGTATCATCATCATCAGTTGTAGTATCATCATCATCAGTAGTAGTATCATCATCATCATCATCAGTAGTACCATTCTCATTATCATCAGTAGTATTATCATCAGTATCATCATCATCATAATCATCATCATCAGTAGTATCATCATCATCATCAGTAGTATCATTCTCATTATCATCAGTACTACTATCATCAGTATCATCATCATCATAATCATCATCATCAGTAGTATCATCATCATCATCAGTAGTACCATTCTCATTATCATCAGTAGTATTATCATCAGTATCATCATCATCATCATAATCATAATCATCAGTATCATCATCATCATTATCGCCACCTATTTGCTACCTACTACACGTGGTGTAAACCAACGAGTTTAACGATTCGTGTAGACGCGAACGCTTCAAGATTGGTCTCAGCCTCTTCCATCTTCTCACCGTTCGTAGAATTTCTCTTTGCCTTGTTCCTTGAGGGACTTGCACAACAACGCGGCACGATCCAGAGCCTCGACTGATTTGTTACGTAAAGTCTCACCCTGGGGAGAGTAGAGGGAGTGGGTGGGTGAGTGGGTGAGTGAGTGGGTGAGTGAGTGGGTGAGTGAGTGGGTGGGTGGGTGGGTGGGTGAGTGAGTGAGTGAGTGGGTGAGTGGGTGAGTGAGTGAGTGGGTGGGTGGGTGAGTGAGTGGGTGAGTGGGTGGGTGGGTGAGTGGGTGTTTGAGGGGGTGAGTGGGTGAGTGGGTGGGTGAGTGAGTGGGTGGGTGGGTGAGTGGGTGGGTGGGTGAGTGAGTGAGTGGGTGAGTGGGTGAGTGGGTGAGTGAGTGGGTGAGTGAGTGAGTGGGTGAGTGGGTGGGTGGGTGAGTGGGTGTTTGAGGGGGTGAGTGGGTGAGTGGGTGGGTGAGTGAGTGGGTGGGTGGGTGAGTGAGTGGGTGGGTGGGTGGGAGGGTGAGTGAGTGGGTGGGTGAGGGGGTGGGTGGGTGGGTGAGTGGGTGAGTGGGTGGGTGGGTGAGTGAGTGAGTGGGAAGGTGAGTGAGTGAGTGGGTGAGTGGGTGAGTGAGTGGGTGAGTGGGTGAGTGAGTGAGTGGGTGGGTGGGTGGGAGGGTGGGTGGGTGAGTGAGTGAGTGGGTGAGTGGGTGGGTGAGTGGGTGGGTGAGTGGGTGGGTGAGTGAGGGGGTGAGTGAGTGAGTGAGTGGGTGAGTGAGTGGGTGAGTGAGTGAGTGGGTGAGTGAGTGGGTGAGTGAGTGAGTGGGTGAGTGAGTGGGTGGGTGAGTGGGTTGGTGAGTGAGTGAGTGGTTGAGTGAGTGGGTGAGTGGGTGGGTGGGTGAGTGGGTGGGTGGGTGAGTGGGTGGGTGAGTGGGTGAGTGGGTGGGTGGGTGAGTGGGTGGGTGGGTGAGTGGGTGAGTGGGTGAGTGGGTGAGTGAGTGGGTGGGTGAGGGGGTGGGTGGGTGGGTGAGTGGGTGGGTGAGTGAGTGAGTGAGTGGGTGGGTGAGTGGGTGAGTGGGTGAGTGAGTGAGTGAGTGGGTGAGTGAGTGGGTGAGTGGGTGAGTGAGTGAGTGGGTGGGTGGGTGGGAGGGTGGGTGGGTGAGTGAGTGAGTGAGTGGGTGGGTGGGTGAGTGAGTGGGTGGGTGAATGGGTGAGTGGGTGAGTGAGTGAGTGGGTGAGTGGGTGAGTGAGTGGGTGAGTGAGTGAGTGGGTGAGTGGGTGGGAGGGTGAGTGGGTGGGTGAGTGGGTGGGTGAGTGAGGGGGTGAGTGAGTGAGTGAGTGGGTGAGTGAGTGGGTGAGTGAGTGAGTGGGTGAGTAAGTGGGTGAGTGAGTGAGTGGGTGAGTGAGTGGGTGGGTGAGTGGGTTGGTGAGTGAGTGAGTGGTTGAGTGAGTGGGTGAGTGGGTGAGTGGGTGGGTGGGTGAGTGGGTGGGTGGGTGAGTGGGTGGGTGAGTGGGTGAGTGAGTGGGTGGGTGAGGGGGTGGGTGGGTGGGTGAGTGGGTGGGTGAGTGAGTGGGTGGGTGAGTGGGTGAGTGAGTGGGTGGGTGAGGGGGTGGGTGGGTGGGTGAGTGGGTGGGTGAGTGAGTGGGTGGGTGAGTGAGTGGGTGAGTGGGTGAGTGAGTGGGTGAGTGGGTGAGTGAGTGAGTGAGTGGGTGAGTGGGTGAGTGAGTGAGTGGGTGAGTGAGTGGGTGAGTGAGTGAGTGGGTGAGTGAGTGGGTGAGTGAGTGGGTGAGTGAGTGGGTGAGTGGGTGAGTGAGTGGGTGGGTGAGTGGGTGAGTGAGTGGGTGAGTGAGTGGGTGGGTGAGTGGGTGGGTGAGTGGGTGAGTGAGTGGGTGAGTGACTGAGTGAGTGAGTGAGTGGGTGAGTGAGTGAGTGAGTGACTGAGTGGGTGAGTGAGTGAGTGACTGAGTGGGTGAGTGAGTGAGTGAGTGACTGAGTGGGTGAGTGAGTGAGTGACTGAGTGAGTGAGTGAGTGGGTGAGTGAGTGACTGAGTGAGTGAGTGAGTGGGTGAGTGAGTGAGTGAGTGGGTGAGTGAGTGAGTGAGTGAGTGACTGAGTGGGTGAGTTACTGAGTGACTGACTGAGTGGGTGAGTGAGTGAGCGAGTGGGTGAGTGAGTGGGTGGGTGGGTGAGTGGTGAGTGAGTGGGTGGGTGGGTGAGTGAGTGATTGACTGAGTGGGTGAGTGACTGACTGACTGAGTGGGTGAGTGAGTGAGTGAGTGACTGAGTGACTGACTGACTGAGTGACTGACTGACTGACTGAGTGACTGACTGACTCGTCCACTCACCGCCTTGTCGAAGCAGGCCTCCCGGTGTCCGTGTGAACAGCAGGCGTTGACGATCTTAGCGTAGGCGTTGGCGAGGGAGGGTGACTGACTGAGTGACTGAATGAGCGAGTGAGTGAGTGACTGACTGACTGACTGAGCGGGTGAGTGAGTGAGCGAGTGAGTGAGTGAGTGGGTGGGTGGGTGAGTGACTGAGTGACTGACTGAGTGAGTGAGTGACTGAGTGACTGACTGAGTGAGTGAGTGACTGAGTGAGTGACTGAGTGAGTGACTGAGTGACTGACTGAGTGAGTGGGTGAGTGGTGAGTGAATGGGTGGGTGGGTGGGTGAGTGAGTGAGTGGGTAAGTGGTGAGTGGGTGAGTGAGTGAGTGGGTGAGTGACTGACTGACTGAGCGGGTGAGTGACTGAGTGACTGACTGGGTGACTAACTCACCGCCTTGTCGAAGCAGGCCTCCCGGTGTCCGTGTGAACAGCAGGCGTTGACGATCTTAGCGTAGGCGTTGGCGAGGGAGGGTGACTGACTGGGTGACTGACTGAGTGACTGAATGGGTGAGTGAGTGGGTGACTGACTGAGTGAGTGGGTGAGTGGTGAGTGAATGGGTGGGTGAGTGACTGAGTGGCTGAGTGACTGACTGAGTGGGTGAGTGAGTGAGTGAGTGGGTGAGTGGGTGAGTGGGTGAGTGAGTGAGCGAGTGAGTGACTGACTGAGTGACTGACTGAGTGACCGACTGACTCGTCCACTCACCGCCTTGTCGAAGCAGGCCTCCCGGTGTCCGTGTGAACAGCAGGCGTTGACGATCTTAGCGTAGGCGTTGGCCAGGGAGGCGATCTGCGGACTTGTCGCTAGCGGGAAGCGATGAGCGAACTCGTAGACCAGTCTGGGAAGCAGGTGAGGGTGAGGGTAGGTGGTGAGTGAGTGGGTGGGTGGGTGAATGAGTGAGTGGGTTAGTGGGTGGGTGAGTGAGTGGGTGAGTGAGTGAGTGGGTGGGTGGGTGAGTGAGTGGGTGAGTGAGTGGGTGAGTGAGTGGGTGAGTGGGTGAGTGGGTGAATGGGTGGGTGGGTGAGTGGGTGGGTGAGTGGGTGAGTGAGTGAGTGGGTGAGTGAGTGAGTGGGTGGGTGAGTGGGTGGGTGGGTGAGTGAGTGAGTTGGTGGGTGGGTGAGTGGGTGGGTGGGTGGTTGAGTGAGTGGGTGGGTGAGTGGGTGAGTGGGTGGGTGAGTGGGTGAGGGGTGAGTGGGTGAGTGGGTGGGTGAGTGAGTGGAGTGGGTGAGTGGGTGAGTGGGTGAGTGAGTGAGTGGGTTAGTGGGTGGGTGGGTGAGTGGGTGAGTGAGTGGGTGAGTGAGTGGGTGAGTGAGTGGGTGGGTGAGTGGGTGAGTGAGTGGGTGATTGATTGAGTGAGTGGGTGAGTGAATGGGTGGGTAGGTGGGTGAGTGGTTGGGTGGGTGGGTGAGTGGGTAGGTGGGTGAGTGGGTGGGTGAGTGGGTGAGTGGGTGAGTGGTGAGTGGGTGAGTGAGTGAGTGGGTGAGTGAGTGGGTGAGTGGGTGAGTGGGTGAGTGGTGGTGAGTGGTGAGTGGTGAGTGAGTGGGTGAGTGGGTGGTGAGTGGGTGAGTGAGTGAGTGGGTTAGTGGGTGGTGGTGGGTGAGTGGGTGAGTGAGTGGGTGAGTGAGTGGGTGAGTGAGTGGGTGAGGGTGAGTGGGTGAGTGAGTGGGTGGGTGAGTGGGTGGGTGGATTGATTGAGTGAGTGGGTGAGTGAATGGGTGGGTAGGTGGGTGAGTGGATGGGTGGGTGGGTGAGTGGGTAGGTGGGTGAGTGGGTGGGTGAGTGGGTGAGTGGGTGAGTGGGTGAGTGGGTGAGTGAGTGAGTGGGTGAGTGAGTGAGTGAGTGGGTGAGTGAGTGAGTGGGTGAGTGGGTGGGTGGGTGGGTGAGTGGGTGGGTGGGTGGGTGAGTGGGTGAGTGGGTGGGTGGGTGGTTGAGTGAGTGGGTGAGTGGGTGGGTAAGTGGGTGGGTGGGTTAGTGGGTGGGTGAGTGAGTGGGTGAGTGGGTGGGTGGATGGGTGAGTGAGTGGGTGGGTGGGTGGGTGAGTGGGTGAGTGAGTGGGTGGGTGGGTGGATGAGTGAGTGAGTGAGTAGGTTGGTGGGTGGGTGGGTTAGTGGGTGAGTGACTGACCGACCGACTGACTGACTGACCGACTGACCGACTGACTGACTGACTAAGCAACTGACTAAGCGACTGACTGACTGACCGACTAAGCGACCGACTAAGCG